TAATATCATATGCAAGTGAAATTCTTGCCGAAGGTTATTTTTAAATGGTCAGAACATTGACAAGGAACTGCTGGATTCAGAAGAGGCGGTGGAACGAGCGGTATCACTGCTGATGTCAGACAGAGCTTGCCTAAAAGCAGAGAATACTAGAGAGATGTTTACTTGAGTTTTATTTACTATGCAAAGACTTTTGACTGTGTGGATCATAACAAATTATGGATAACATTGGGAAAAATTGGGGATCCCAGAACACGTTAACTGTGCTCATGAAAAACCTATACAGACTAAGACGCTGTCATCCAAACAGAATAAGGGGACACAGCCTGGTTTAAAACCAGGAAAGTGTGCATCAGGATTGCATCCTTTCTTCATACCTATTCAATCTGCATATTATGCAATTAATTCAAGAAGCTGAACCAAATGAAGAAAACTGTGGCATCAGGACTGGAGAGACACTCATTACATGTATGACACAACTTTGTTCGCTGAAAGTGAAGAGGACTTGAAACCCTTTGCTTCAGAAGGTAAAAGACTACAGCTTTCACTATGGATTACACTTCAAGATCAAGAAAATTCTCACCAGTGGACCAACAGGGAATACTGATATGATAGTTGGAGAAAAGATTGTAATTGTGGACAATTTCTTTTTACTGGAATCCATAAGCCACACCATTGCAGCAGCCAAGAAATCAAAAGATATGCTGCATTGGAGAAATCTGCTCTCAAGGACCTCTCCAAGGCACTAACGGGCAAGGATGTTATCTTAAAGACTAAAGTGGGGGGTGGGGGGAATAAACACTAAAGTGTGCCTGATTCGAGCCAGGGTATTTTCAGCTGCTTCCTGTATATCTGAAAGTTGGATAATGAATAAAGAAACCTGGAAAAGAACCGATTTCTTTGAATTGTGGTATTGGAGAAATGTATTGAATATACCACAGACTGCCAAAAGAACAAACACATCTGTTTTAGAGGAAGTACATTGAAGGGGCTCCTTAGAGGCAAGGATGGTGAAAATTCATCTCAAATACTTTAGACATGTCATCAGGAGACGTCAGTCCTTGGAAAAAGACGACACCTGGGAAAGGTAAAGGGTCAGAGAAAGAGAGGAAGACCCTCAACAAGATGAATTAACACAGCAACTACAACAATGAACTTGAACATGATAAAGATCAGAGATTTGGAAGATGGCAGACAGGATAGGGCCAGGTTCATAGGGTCACTCTCACCTGAAGTCTATTCCATGGCACCTAAAAAGCAACAATATCACAAGTGGGTGACTTTAACAACAGATTTCTCGCCCCTGTACCGCCCCCATCATCACAGTTCTCAAGGCTGTACTCAGGGAAGGCTTTTTCTTTCTGTTGTCTCTGGAGTGATGTCCTCTTTTATTTGAGCTTCTGCTCCTAGGCAGTCTTCATGTAGCTTGCCATCTGTCTGTCTTTCTCCATCTTTGTATGCTAGCCGGCATTCCTAATAATTTCTTTCATATCTCAAGAGTGATTAGCTCGAAATAAACTCAGCACTAGTCCTATCTCATTGACATAATAATCTATACCTAAATGGAACTATAATGTAACATAAGCTTTACACATTCACTGCATTTGAGTTGCATTTTCAAGGTTGTAAATCAAAATGAAAAGACACTGCCCATCTCTCTCCCTTGGAGCCACTGGTAGATTGGAACCGCAGGAGACTCAAGGTCTTTTCATTATCAGTGCAATTCGTAGTAGATTACATCACCAGAGCTCTCTAAACATAGTGTTGTCCTTGTTGTTATGTGCCATCAAGTTGGAATCAACTCATTGCTGACCCTCCAACAGATTTTCAGAAGCAATACATTGCTCAGGAAGAAACTGCTCATCTTTCTCCTGAGGAGCAGAGGGTGGATTTGAACCACCTGTTTTTGGGGTTGGCAGGGCAACTCCTTATCCAGTAGACCACCAGAGCTCCCATAACCCTAGGCTAGGATTTACAAAATGCCTTTTTGGACAATACCGTTTAATACATACACACGAGAAACAAAACTAGAAATATTTCTCTATTCTGAAACCAACACAAGTGCAATGTTGTCAGGAAGACAGAGAGGAAGAACGAAGAATATGGTCATTTAGAATGCCCAGTGCCCACACCCATCTAAAGGAACTGGCCTTTCACGGCCTGGCTGATTACTCACTATGTCACATACCTCAATTTTCAGTTCCTTTTTCATTGCCGTAGAATTGGAGCCAATTCAAAGCCAACCCTCCATTGACCCATCTTTCTAATCCTTTCCATTAGGGCTCATCTTTCTTGGAGCAGTCACTGGTGGATTTGAATCGTAAGACTTGGGTTTTGAGGTACCTGTGAAACTCCATATGGATGATGCCACCAGAGTCCACTTAATTTTCAACAGTTGTGAGAAATCCAAGGTTTTAAAAAAATTTTTTTAAATCCAGGTTTTTACGTGAAATCTCTTAGTTTTCAGTTACTTTCTCTAATAGCTTCTAGAGTATATAAATATAATAGACAATGTATAAAAATACATCTTGACTCTAGTGTCCTTATGTAATCCCTTATGATTCTGCCATTTGCAATGGTTTAATATTGTGTATCAACTTGAATAGGCCATAACTCCCCAGTATTATATAGCTTTTCTCTGGGTTGTGATCTGATCTAATTATCCTCCATGTTTGTAAATTATGTAATTATCCTGTTAAGTCCTAACTCTGTGTATTAATTAGGCAGGATTAGCGTGGGGTGTATCTTGAGTCACACCCTTACTCTGATGTAAGGGATGTTTCCTCGAGAGTGTAATCTGCATGCAATGTGTATGCTGTGGCAAGGCTCTCCCTTGTCCTGGATCCTGACCCCCAGCTCATCATCACCTGACCTCTAGTTCTTGGAACTTGTACTAGCAGTCTCAGTTGCTGATTCTCAGATTTGTCATCTTCTGCAGCTCATGAGTCAATAGCTTGTTGTTTGAGCTGTTGATTATTGATCAGCCCTGACAACCACATGAGTCAGAAGATGCCAACCTGAAGTCTAACTTGCGGATTCGGGACTTGACAGTCTCTAGATAGTCATGTGAGCCATTTCCTGAAGTAACCCAAATGTGTGTGTGTGTGTGTGTGTGTGTGTGTGTGTGTGTGTGTGTATTCCTTCATCAGAAAATAAGGAAACTAAGAGTATTCACTGAATAGGGGTATTGAGGTGATGTGACATGCCCAGTCCAGGTCTACCATGAAAAGCTTGGAGATCAGTGACTATTATCCATTCATTTCCCAAACTCTGAACACCCTGGGCCATCATGGCAGGTGCCACACATCACACTTTGAGGAACATTTACTGGGGCCTTGCTCTTAACCTGGAATGCCTCTCCTTATCTAGCCATTGGAGTGAGTCCCAGAGTACCACAAATGGGTAAACACAACCAGCTGAAAGGTTAATGGTTTGAGTCCACCCAGAAGCTTCTTGAAAGAGCTGGCAATCTGTTTCCAAAAGGCCACTATTTTACTTGGAGTGAGTTGAGACTTTTCAGCAACTGGGTTTTTTAAATGTTTGGTTTTTCGTTGTGTTTTTTTTTAAATCTATCCATCAAAGCACTGTGTGGAGGTGTAGCTATGATGTCATCTCCTCTGAAAAGCCTTATGGATTCACATTTAGCACCACCTTCAGCCTTTTTGAGGGCTGGGTCCCCTTCTGGTCTTCACCCCTAGCTATGCACCAGTGCCTCATTTGTCCCTTTTCCTCTATCACCTACTTCCTGAAGCTTTGGGGAAGTTCAAGTGCTGAACTCCAGCCTTGCACCCCAACACAGATGTCGGAGTGCCACACCCATATCTAAGGGCTCAATCAACAGAGACAGAACTCTTTCTTCTGTGTCCATCCACACCCTCCCAAGTCAGCTTCCTCGCCTGAAAACAGGTAGTCTGGCTCAGCAGGGTGATTACGAAGAAGAAATGAGAAAATACTGCCAATGTCCCTTTCTTCCTGTTTCAGGTTGAACCAGCTTCATCTGTCCCCTGTAGAGGGAAGTGAAGGAGGGTGCCCTAACCATCCCACCACCAACATGGGAGATCCAGAGGGTGGGGCAGATAGCCATCTTGAGATGATCATCTAGTTCAGAGAATTTCTGATTCCATTGTTTGAAGTCAGCCTTAGGCTCCTGGATTTTCAAAAGCAAGTAAAATTCTTCTCTCTTGAAGTTTTAGGTTCTATAACAACCTTGTTTGGTAGTGGTTGTTGAGTACCAGAGTTGGAACGAACCCATAACTGACCCTTCAGCGGGTTTTCAGAGGCAGTTAACTGCACAGGAGGAGACTGCCCATCTGTCTCCCATGGGGCAGCTAGTGGATTCGAACCACATGCCTTCCGGATTGCAGTGCAGTTTCTTCTTCCCTACGAGTACTCAAACTGCTCCTTGTGAATGGAGGCAGTCAAGGCTGACTCCATACCATAGCTTTGGAGGGAAGAGTGCTGCCACCTAGGGGCTAAGACAGAAATTGCACAAACCCCTTGGGTCCACCATTGTGATAAACATATTTATTGCGCCAGGCACCATGCCAAAACTTTATACGTTTCATCATTCTGGATCCCCATGAAAACCCTATGAGGTAGAACTATTATAAGCCCCATGGCACAGATGAGGACTCTGGTACTCACAGGAATGAAGTGACCTGATCAAGGTCACATGACGAGTATTTGGATTTCAAGACTGATGTGGTTGCTACTTTGACTTGTAACTACAACATGTGAATGTGTCTTCCAGATGTTTATATCACAGCTGTCTTGAAAATGCTGTGAGGAACCATATGTACATGGTCCCAAAGCTCCAACTATGCCAAGCCTCCAGAAAAACAGCCTGTTGAGAGGCCACCAAGGCATCCAGTGGGGCGGGGAAGCCCTGTCCTCTCTTGGGTCACCAACCACCAACAACCTGGACCAGCCAGACCCAGAGCTGCTCAGACTCTTTCTCAGGCGATGTCCTGCCATCTTCCTCACAGGCAGCCGGACCTCAGATTCCAGAATGCCGCAGGGATCTCCAGCAGAACAAGGGGCCCAGGAGGCTGGCCACCAGTCAGGGTTTGTAAGTGGCATTCCAAAAGCTGAAGGCTGGCTTCCATTGGGAAGGATTTCTAGGCTGTCCCAGAGGCCCTAGACCCAACATGAGCATCAAGTCAGGCCCGTGGCGGCAAAACCAAAGCCATCACTCAGAAGCCTGGATGTAGACAGGCACCGCAAGCATGGCGCATGGGCCCTCGGCCCCCGCTTGCAGCTCTGCCAGTGCCAGGTTGGAGCCCAGCCCCTCAGCGTGCCCAGGCACCACCAGCTCGGGCTCCCCGCCCACACCACCGCCCACCACGATGGACAGTACAGCATCTGGCTCGGTGAAGGGTGGCTTGCCAGAGCTGACTTCAGGTACTGCCTCTGCCTCTGTGTCCTTCAGCTCTTCCAGCCCCAGAGGGTCTGGCAGGGGGGCCTCCAACTTGCGCCCACCACTGCCGCTGCTTCGAGGGGTTGTCCTCCTCCTGGGGGGCCGCCGGGCTTGCAGGTCCTTGTCCTTTTGGGTGCCAAGGCGGCAGCGGTGGTCCTTGAGGTACTTGTGGCGGGAAAAGCCCTTGGCACAGCCTGCACAGCGGAACTTGTAGTTGCCCGTGTGCGCACGCTGGTGCTCGGCCAGGTGGGCGCGGCGACTGAAAGACTTGCTGCACAGGGCGCACTTGTGGAGTTTCATGCCTGTGGAGTGAGGTGAGGTTCAGTGAGGGTCCAGAAGTCTCCTACAGTGGGGATCCCCGTGTCTGAAATGAAATCTAACCTTCCACCCTGGCCTATGATTACCTGCTTCCTCTCTACTCTCATCTATTACCAAGCCACTCACCTCCACACTAACTACACTAGTTCCCAACCTCTGCATTGCTGTCTTTTTGCCTAAAACTGGCCACTCCATCCTTAAACCATGGCTAACTCTGCAAAACACCATTCTCTCTTTCCTGGATGGCCAGAGTGGCAGACAGGACTCCTGTCTGGTCTGCCAGCTTCCGACTCCACCTCAGGCCCCTCAGACCATGCCCCATAGGACAGCAAAGAGCATCTCTATAAGAGATACAAGCTGATCATGACATCTGTATCAGGGAACATCGCTGATTTAGTTATGTCTTCTCAGGTCAGCCCCCTCAAGACTGGGGGACTCTGATTCACCTCTGTACTTCCTGAGGATCCTAACACAGGGCAGAATACTATCAGCTGGGCTGTACCAGTAAGATTAATATGCAATCTGGGATATGTCTGACCTTTCTCTTCCTGGCAGGCCTGTCTCAGGGGGTTTGGACCAGACCAGATCCCTCCTGGCCTCCTGGCTGTCCCACTAATGAACTTACCAGAGTGAGAGAGGATGTGGGCCTTCAGCTTGTCTGGCCGGTTGAACTCCTTGCTGCAGCCTGTGTGTGTCCTAGAACCCAAAGACACTGGTCAGGGAGCTCACCAACTTAGGAATTTCCGGCAGCTCTAGGCATGAGGGACATACACATCCACTCTAAGAGCAGGAAAGCAGGGAAGGGGGTGCGGGTGAGTGCAGCAGGCAGGGCCCAGAACAGAATAAAAAGTGAGATGGTCTTCAGCTGTCAAACTGGACATCCTTCTGTCCTGCCCTCCCTGGTAGGACTTGTACATCAGTGCCAGCCTTTACTCACGAGAAGGGACATTTATATTTCTTGAAGGGCTCATGGATCAGCATGTGTCTCTTCAGCTTGTCCTTGCGGTTGAACGCGGACTCACACACTGAGCATTTGTAGGGCTTCTCACCTGCAAGAGATGTGGATAGGAGAGAGGGCCCAGTGAGACGAAGCCTGGGCATAAGGCATGGGGGTGCTCTCTGTCTCTCTCAGGGCAGCAGTTCCTGATGTTCCCTGGGGGAAAGTCAGTCTCTACAATTATTTATGATTTGATTTGCCAAGAACAAGTGGGGCTCTTTGAAATGTAGTCAAGGGTTCCTCTGATGAGACCACATATGAGCTGAGACCTGAAGAATTATGGGGGGAAAAAAACAGACCAAACTCATTAGCCGTCAAGTTGAGTCCAGTTCATAGTGACTGTAGGCTGTAAAAACTCCATCAGGTTGTATATCTTTATGAGAAGAGACTGGCCTTATTTCCAATCTGAATGGCAGTGGATTTGAACAAATGACCTTTAAGTTCAGTTAGCAATCCAATACATTAACGCAGGGCTCCTTTTCAATGAAATATTCAGCCATAAAAAGGAATGAAGTACTGATAGATGTTACAACATGGATAAGCCTGGAAGACATCATGCCAAGTGAAATAAGCCTGACACCAAAGGACAAAGAAAGTATGATCGAATTTATATGAATTATCTAGAACAGACAGATGCAGAAAGGAGATACAAGGATTGAAAGATATACAGACAAAAAGGAGACTAGTGGTTATAATGGGTTGGAGATGAGGGATGGGGTGGGGAATTATTAATGGCATCTCCAGGATAAAGAACATTTTGGAAGCAAATGGTGATTGATGTTTGCCCAGTATTGCCCATGTGAGTCATAGCCACTAGATTTTAACCACTTGAAAATGGTTCAAATTACAAATTTTATATTGTCCATAATTTAACACACACACACACAAAAAATAACTCCTATTGTTATCCCTATTTTATAGATGAGAAAACTGAGGCTGAGAGACGTGATATAAACTCAAAGTTTACATACTTAAAGTTTACAGTAAGTGGAGGAGCTAGGATTCTAGCCTAGCAATGTGATCCAGATTTTTCTGCTTCTGAAAACATAGATGGTCCATCCATGGGGTAAGGAACCAGGGATGGGCAGCTTCCACCTGTGAGAGGTCAGGGGGACCCCCTGAGGAATCCTAGGAAATGAAATGAGATGCCTGCACGCTGCTGTGGGGGTTACAACCTGCCATTTGGAAAAGGGAGGCTCTTGGTTTTTTATTTCCTGTCAATATTTCCTCTCTGTTTTGTTTCTGGAATTAATAAAGTATTTTTGAGAAATGTCAATCCAGTGGTTATGGAAATTCTGGTCCTTACAACGGAAGGCTTTGCAGCCATTAAGAACATTAAGGTTAATTTTTATTTCCTGATCGAGAACTATATCCTGGATATGTTGCTAGAAGAGAAAGAAAGCTGTAGCACAGCCCATTTTTGTTAAAAGAAAATACAATCTCTACTTAAAAGAAAAACCACCAACAAATCCTAGCCATGTGTGTACATACTTTGTACATACAAAGAATATGCAGGGGAAAAGATGAAGAGGACATGCCAAACTGTCAGTACAAATTAGCATTTGAAGGGGGAATCTAATATTTCACTTTATGTACTTCTATATTGCTTCCATTTTTATAAGGAAGCATGCATTATTTTTAAATAAGAGTAATAATGAAAAACCACAAAGAGAACAATTGGGTAATATCTATCAAAATTATCAATGTATATGGGGGAAGTTTTGGGGTTATTTTCCCCAAAGTATATGTTTTAAGCTAGTATTTATATATATATATATATATATATATATATATATATATAT